TATCCAGAAAAAGCCTGAAGTGGCTAATCTTGAGCTGAATTAGAATCTCACTATATTAGAACAAGCCTTACCCCAGCTCTCCTCCAAGGCCACTGGAAAAATTGCCTTCCCTCTTCTCTATGCCTTTTCCTAAAACGTGAATACCTGGAAGGTGCTTGCCAAGCTCTAGAGTCTACGCCATCTGTCCACTGTTGCCACTAGCTACACATGGCTACTTTTCATGTTGATTACATGTTTAAATAATATTTTTTTATATTCCTGGTTAAAAATAAAATTCACTTTTTTAAAAACCTTTTTTAATGTGACTACTAGCAAATTTGAGGTCACATACAGGGCTTACATTTCTGTTGGGCAGCATTGCTCTAGATCAATGCTTCTTAAACATAAATGCATATATGAATCATTACATGGGAATCTTGATGAAATGAAAATTCCGATTCAGTGGGTTTGATAGGCCCAAGATCCTGCATTTCTGACAAGCTCCCAGGTGATGCCAGATGCTGCAGGATCATGAGTACAGGGCTCTGGAGAAATTTAGGAGCTAAAGTATCTTTAGGAGCATGGTGTTACCAGATACCTCTGTAAGAGTACTCAAGGTTAGCAACATTTCTTAAAGGCCTTTAAGGAGTATCAGAACACCCAACTCAAACCAGTACCTGTGTCCCCTGACCCAGAAAATATGTGTATTTCCTCCTATGGATACTAGCCATAGTGCTCCCTACTTTGAAGGCAAGTATTACACTGCTGATCACAGAAGATACGCTTTACTTGTATCAAATTTATTATCCCAAACTGAGAGCCATATTTTTGCTTATGCTCCAGAAACATCTTCCTGATAATGTCTTTAAATTCAGGGAAATAAGCTGTTGGGAAGGGTAGAAAAGTTCTTTCTTCAAAATCCCCTGTGTTTTGAAGTCATACAGTAAAATTCAAGAAGCTACCCCAAAGGGGCAGATCAAATGAAGTCAGACATGGATCTGGAGGTATCAATACCTCAGCTACCAAACCTGTTGCCGTCGAGTCGATTCTGAGAGGACCCTCAATGTCTTTTAGGTCCTTTTGCTCAACTGACTCTAGTCCATTTTTCATTACTTACCTAGTGTTGCCAGATACCTCCTGCCAATTTCTCATTTCCTAAAGGGGGCCAAACTGTCCAGCAGATTTTCCCCACCACCACATACTATCCCTCAGTCCTTCATAGGAAAAGCACAACAAAAAAGTCACTGGTGTGGCTTTTGTTACTTTACCATTCTCCTTTCTTCCAGAGAAGATCAGCACATTAGTGGTTTTTTGTTTTTTTTTTTAAAATCCATCTACGTAGCTCTACGCCGACGGTGGACTCCTCTTTCCAGGGTATTTTCTCACCAAAACTTTGGAATGGGGGTGCTGGTGGTGGCTTTTCCTCATTCAGAGTTTCACAACTGAAGTTTGGATGGCTTTCCCAAGAGACTAGTTTCAAATTTCCTGGTACATTTTGTTGAAGGAACTTTCAAATGACCTCCCCAACCACTAATAACAAAGTTATCCTTAGTTCTCTGCATCTGCTTCAGCCTCTGATTTCTGAATCAACCATGACATAACTCTGGGAGTGTTTGTTATACACTGGACAGAAGCATATTTCTAACTTCTACCTAGAGAAACTGAAGGATAGCAACATCACAGCTCTGGAGACTTTGGCACAAACCCTATTTGGGAACCCTTCCATTTATTTCCTTGCCCCTCTCTTCCTGCTGCCGAGTGGCCATCTACCCCTGGTTAAGGGGTAGGACAGCGAGGACCACAGCTCCTTGGTATTTCTGAGTTGGCCAGGTCATTGCACAGTAGTCATTCTTGGCATACCCCATCACCTGCACGTGGTTCTGCTCCATAATAACGTAACTTGGAAGGTACAGACTTTCCATCTGGGAAACTAGGAAAAAAAAGTTCTCCAAAAAAGCTACATAGTTCTCCTATCAGCCTGGCAAGCCCCCTCTAACATCCCCCTTCCCCCTTATTCTTTTGTCCCAAAGAAAATCTGGGCAGTCTGCACGTGGGTACCCTGGAGGCCCACTCCCTTCAGGCTGCTGTTGCCTGGGGATGGCTAGGACAAGGCTGAACAACTGCCAAGGACCCTAAGCCATTGTCGGTTGCACACATCATATAATGAGTACTAAGAAACACATCTTTAGAGAAAGTATGGTAAGCAACCAGTTTCCTGGCTTGCTAATGATGGATGCCACCGCCACCACGTTCTATAGTTTTAAAAACTTATTAATAGCCATTTTTTTCTTACCTAGCAAAAGAATTCTAAAAAATATTATTTTAAAAGCTGTATAAACTACAGGGTTAGATCTCATTTTTTGCTACCCTCAATGTAACAGTAGAAATGAATGCTCAGAACTTGAAAAATGACATACATATTAGCAAAGTACTGTTAAAAGATTTATTGCAGTAATACAATAAACATTTAGAAAACATTTGTATGACTCAAACTGGCTTGGAAGTTGCAGAGCAGAGGGAAGTTCCTGCAACATGACACCGCAAGGAGATCCTCAGACACAGTAATTCTTTTAACACCACGCTACTGAACATTCTTTTCTAAATTATCTATACGGGAATCCTTAAATGAATTCTGTCTACTATACTCAATGCTGACATACTGTTTTTCCCCTTAACTTACAGATGTGCAAAACTTTTCTTTGTATATTCTGTTACAAAAAAAGTCTTGAACAGACCATTCTAAGCAGCCTATTTGGTGCCTGTAGTTTTCTTTTTTTTTTTTAAATTAGTATTACCTTGTTTCAATAAATCATTTTAAAATGGAAAACATGACCAAGTTCTATGGCTTTTTGTTTAAAAAAAAAAAAACAGCTTCAATTCTTTAAAAAGCTGTTTGCATATGGTTCTGGCACCTAAATGAAAGATTTTAATGAGCAGCAAAAAGAGTAGAAAAACAGTGGTTGAAATGTGTATTTAAGAATATTTACATGGTGGATCCAGTGCAAAATAATGAAAACCAAAACATCTCAGCAGTGTAAGTCAGTATGTTGGTGTTCAAAACCACCAAAGGGTTTGATCACTTAACCCTAAGTAAAGTGCCTCTAGTCGAGATTAACAACAACAAAATATACCCTATTAACCCCTATATTGGCCACATTGTTGTAAATTTTGTTGGCTTACTTTAGATATGAGTTTGTGGTATCTGGATTCTATCCTTTAGCCTCATCTCACATCATGGTTTCATAGAGGCTTACTTGAGAAAATCGTGAGTACTGTGCATCTCTCAGCTGGAGTCAATCTCTACCCTCAAGCCCCAAATCCCAGTCCTTCTAACTCTTGAGACTAGGCTATTCCTTCTGAGGGTCTGAAGTAGCTAGACAATTCTTATGGGATTTCAAGTTATTTGGTATTTGTTCAAGTTTATCACACCCACTCTCTATGAATTATAGAACTGGATGGTAAAATGCAAGCCCAGCAATCATGAAGCTGGGCGCTTTCAGCAGAGATAGAGGCTATATATAAGAACCCACAAGGTTTGGGAAAGCCTATTTGTTCCCTAAGTGGAAAATGTCATAGAGTCACAGGGACTGTGGTACTCCTCTATAGGAATAAACCTCTCCCCCTGCAACTCTACCCAAAATGCTACCAAACACCAAATATACCAATAGCAAAAGCCATATAGCACCTCAGATTTGGAAGCAAAGTATCAACTATAATCATTACAATGAGAAAAGAAGCTAGGGCAGAGTAAACCTCAGAATGATTTATCTGAGGTACTATCATGCTAATCATGCTAACAAGATATGGTAATTATGCCTGTTAGGAATTTTTCATAGGATTTTTTTGTAGTTGTTACATAGGATTTTTTTTTTTTGCAATTATTAAAAAGAAAAAACTACTTACATATTTGTACATAATGCCTCTCTCATTACAGTTTTCTTGTAAGATTGTCACTAAGAGAATGACAAGATAACATTACTGAAAGTGACTTCTTGGTGAGGGAACATCCTTTATATCTGAGCTTTCCCCAGGATAGAGCATAGTATCAGTTTTAAGGATCTGCTCTGCATTTCTGAGCAAAGGTAGTGTCTTCAGAGCAACAAAGACCTCTAGGAAACAAACAGGATTGTTTTCCCTGGAAACACCTGCCACCTACTAAAATCCCTTAAAAGAAATTGGACACCAGGACAATGGCCAGAGGCCACTTAATTAAGTGGCTTGTAGCCTGTGCCCAGGCAGACATTTAGCTGACACAAGGGAATGACCTTAATGACTTTTCACTCACAGAAAAGAAATTCCATTTCAAAATGCACATAGTGTGGACGGTAGGAATTAAAAAATCTAGCTGAGAATGACCTTAATTCCCCTTAGAATACAAGAAAATAGTTTTAAAATCTGTAGGACATTGTTGCAGCTAGGATTTCTTCTGTTCATAGACATGGGTCCTAAAGAAAAAAAGACCTTAGTTTCTTTGGTGTGTGGGAAGAAAGAAAAACAGAAATGTCTGACGAGCTATGACAGAGCAGCACAAAGTAATTTTTAAAAAACTACCCCTCCAAAAACAGACCACCCCTCCCAAACAAAACCAAAATCCTTGACCTAAAAACCCAAGATGACCAAATTATAAAGAAATGATGGCATCAAAACAAACTCTTATTAAACAGTATATATCTTTCAAGTCCTAATTGTCAAGAATCACTTCCTTGTATACAACTAGTGGTCTCTTCCCATTTGGAGTAAAGGAGAGTGAAGAAAACCAAAGACTCAAGGGAGCAATCAGTCCAAAGGACTACTGGCCCACACGCACCACAGCCTACATGACCTCGAGACCAGAAGAACTAGATAGTGTCTGGCTACTACTACTGACCACTCTGACTGGGATCACAACAGAGGGCCGGGACAGAGAGGGAGAAAAATGTAGAGCAAAAAATCTCATAAAAAAAAGACCAGACTTACTGGCCTGATAGATACTGGAGGAACCCCCGAGACTATGGCCCTAAGACACCCCTCTCACTTGGAACTGCAGCCACTCCCGGAAACCACCTTCCAGCCAAGCAATAGACAGGCCTATAAAATAAACAACAATACCAGAAAAGAACGTGCTCTGTAGAACAATTTAAAAAAACAGAATCACTTCCTTGTGATTCAACTTCTAAAACTTAAAGTGTTCGAGAACAGTCTCAGCAACACAAAGGTCAACCATGAAGCCATCTCGGTGGAGTCTGTGGGTCCTGTGGTCAGTGATCAGAGGGAGCCCAGATGAACTGCTTCCTCAACAAAATCAGGAACCGGCCCCATGTGCAGTTCCTTCTTCCACCAACACTGGTTTGGGCAGAAGGACCTCTGACCCTCTGTCTTATTATCATAAGCATAGACCCATTTTACAACATGTCCGTCATATCTGGCAAACAGAAATGTTTGTCTCCCTGCCTTTAAATAAAAAAAAAAGAAAAGTTTAACTTTTTTTGTTCCAGGCACTCTCTTAACTAAACACCTAAGGTTTACTAGCGTGTAGTGGGAGAACTTTCTTGATGCAAATTTGGCATGTTTTTGTCCACGCTCGTTAGCGGTGTCCAGTGTAAGCTTTAAACCAGGAGGTCACTGAGGCTGCCGCGGAGGAGATCATTCCACCCGCACTGCTGCTTGCGATGGGTGGGGACGCCTGGGTGCTCTGGCTCTGAGAGACTTCCACGGGCTGGGAAGGGATGTCACAAAACCGGGGGCTTGGCAGGTTCTCCCAGTCCATGCCCAGGTCAGTCTCCTCATCACTTATGTGCTCATCTCCGCTCTCATCTGATTCTCCAGCGACTCCAGGATCCACAAATTCCATGGACTCCTCAAGGTCTGCTCGCACTTCAAACGGCCCCGACCTGTGTGCAGAGTGACAACCAGGGTGGAGATAGTCAGACCTCAGCCTGATGGGATGTAGGAGGCCCAGAGCCTGTTACCACACACCATCTCACGAGTCTGCACTGCACTCTTGTTGATCTACGATTGAGATTTTCTTCACCTAAATAATAACTGCTATCCAAGTAATGAACTCAGTCACCACACCACACTTTCTCTCAATTCTACCCCTGTATTTGTGAAGACCCTGGACGGAGGAGAAAACTATCCACAGAGACTATCCATGCTGATCCCAAGTATAACTTCCAAAACTGTTTTAAACTGCAGCAAATATATAGCATTCCATTGAGACAATTAGGAAAAATAGTTACTTGATGTATACGCTGGTATATTAATTAGTGTAACAAGTAACAAATGGTTCACAAAGAAATACAGATACATCCTGCCTTATGAGCCCCTGGGTAGCGCAAACTGGTTAAGGTGATTGTCTGCTAACCAAGAGGCTGGAGGTTTGAGTATACCCAGAGGTGCCTTGGAAGAAAAATCAGCCAGTGAAAACCCTACAGAGCACAATTCTACTCTGACACACGTGGGGTTGTCATGAGTTAGAATCAACTCCACAGCTAGTGGTGGTGGTGGAACACTGCCTTATGGAAGCCCCAAATTATTAAACTCTTAAAACCCAAAAGAGATAAACGATATGTCTACATGCATGTTAGCATACATACTTGCAATGCTGCATGCTAGCAGGCTCCCCCCTACACATTTTAAAATATCACAATTTTCTAGAGACATTTATTACATGAAATGAGAAACAACTATTTAGAATGCATTCATCCGGAAGAGTGCATATTTCTGCGCTGTATTTCAAGAGAAAAATATTTTTATTTCCCAAAGGTTCCTAATAATTTCCTCACTGCCAAATCCAATAACCCTTTCTCAGGCTGCATCCTGTATGACCACTCCTTAGCAGGACTCTGTGGAACCCTGTCAGCAAACCACACACAAGCCTTTCTGCTTTTTCCCTTGCCCCTTTGAGAAGCCCACCAGCTCCTGCCCTGGGGGAGCCAGGCTGCATTTTCTTTGGAGGGCAGTCGTCCTCCAGGGAGGACGACCCATGGAACCAGCTAGAGGGCAGGACCAAGTCTTGCCAGCAGCCCCTATCTCCCTGCTGTTGCTCCCTAAGACAAGCACACAAAGTCTTGGTTCTTTTAATGGTTTCACTGATAATTATTTTGGGAAAAATGACAGAGGTTAACAAAAAAATAGAAATCGGAAATATTCCAGAATCGTATAGCCTGTCTTTCTAGTCTATGTTCCAAAATTCTTTACAGCCTTTAGAATGACAAAAGCCCAGTGTAGGTCTTCAATGTCCCTCACCAGAGCTCACCTTCTGACTCACAGTTTCCAGGGTCAAGCAGACCTCATTCTTCCAAGACAGCCCTGCTTCCCAGTTGGAAATATAGCAACAATAATAGCTACCGTTCCAGGCACTGCTTTGAGGGCTTTATGTGTACTAATTAAACCGGAAGATGCACCACAGGGTTTCCCCCTTGGTCTCAAGTGAGTAATTTATATTTCAAAGTACCTCGGATCAGGTGGGCCCCAGTTTACTAGTCCTCTACCCTGCCCAGAAGTCATTATTTTGCGAGGGGTGAAATGGGATACGGGTTCTCCCCACAATCTTCCTACCTCCTCATGTCCCCCCTTGAAACTTTCTCCCTCAAACAAACCAATGACCACTGTGAGCAGTATGTTAGCTCTGAGTATCTCTTCTGTTTCCTTAAGGTTCTCCCTGTAGTTCATCTCTTTTCTCCTTTCCCTTTTTCTTGGCAAACGTGTCTACTCCAAAGCCATCTTTTCAGATTCCTCTCCTCCTAGCTCGACCCCCAAATTCCCTCTTGCCGGTCAGATCTCTCATCTGAGGGTTACTAACCCCTCAGAATCGCCTGCTCCTCTCTGAGTCAGTTACCGGTTTGAAAACCCAACCCAGCCTGGACTCCCCTCCTCCCTCAGGCTCTGCATCCGTGTAACAGCACCACACAATCCCTTTTCCATTCTCAACATGTCACCCTAGCGCAGGTCCTCACTACACTGCCATCACCTCCAAATCAGCGTCCATGCCTCCAGCTGGCCCCCCACACTCCTCTCTCCTCATGGCACTTGCCCACTAAAAATGTTACAATTTTAAATTCTGTAGCTGGCCTCTTCGTCCCTCACTAAACACAAGGCTCTCTGATGCTGTTCTGTTCAACTCTGCTCTCCAAGGGGCCTCTGAACTTACTGCCAGGTTAAGTCTCCGAGTCCCCCAGCCTCCCTCCAGGACAGGCCAGCTCTTCACCACAGCCACTTCCTTTCTGCTAGCTCTGGAGGCTTGGCCTGTTTTTTGGTTCCTCTTCGGTGTTGCCTTATCTATTCTTGGGGTCCTTCTCAGGATGGGACAACCATTGTCTCCAGATCCCCCTGTAAGGGTTTTCCCAGGAGACAGGCAGGAGTGATACGTGGGTGAGATGACAGTTCCTCCAGTCAGAGAGCTCCCACAGGAGCCACGAGGGACTCCAGCTCTCTGCTTGAATCCCCAGGGTAGAGTCCACTTGCCATGGAACAGGTTCTCAGTTAAGTATTTAAAATGAAAAAATGAACAACTGGATGACTCCCAAGAGGCCAGTCAGAACAATTCTGGTTTCAGTGATTGACTTACATTTCTGGGAACCTGCAGGAGCAGGCGAAGAGGCCTCTCTCAGAGACCCCTGGACCTTTATCCACCAATGCCTCTCTCTCCCACCACTTCAAGGTTAGAGAGATATTACCTGCCTAGGACACCCAGAGCTACACACACATCTCACAGAACTAATCAGTGAAAGAATTAAATATTTTTCACTTAATGTCTTTGGGGAATAAAGATTACAAAATCTTTCCTCTAATTTTAGTTTAGCTGAACAATTGATATCTTTTTATTCAAATGCTGAAGCCAGAGCGCTCATTTTCTCACAATCCTACATAGATTTCAGGAAAAAAAAAATGTGTATGTATGTATGGGGAGCCCTGGTGGTGTACTGGTTAAGAGCTTGGTTGCTAATCAAAAGGTCAGAAGTTGGAATCCACCAGCCATTCCTTGGAAACACTATGGGGCAGTTCTACTCTGTCCTGTAGGGTTGCTATGAGTCAGAATTGACTCAAGGACAATGGGTTTTTTAATATTTTTATGTATGTATGTGTGTATATATGGAGAGAGAGAGACTGTGTAAATATTAAAGCAATGGTGGAGAATATTAACAATAGGTGAACCTAGGTAAAGGGTACATGGGTCTTTGTAATATTTTTATTTTTTGCAACTTTTCTTTAAGTCTGAATTTATTTCGAAGGACAGTAACAATTCATCTGAGATGGGCTCCTACAGTTCATCTGGTTTGAATGGAAACAAATGTCCAGTCAGAGTTCCATTAAGAATTTTCTCTACCCTGAGAGTATGGCCCATGGACACCCTTTCAACTTATTGCTGAAGTCACTCCAGAGGTTCACCCTTCAGACAAAGATTACATAGGCCCATAAAACAAACAAAACACGTAGCTCAACCATATATGGGAGACTAAATGGGCACACCAGCCCAGGGGCAAGGACGAGAAGGCAGGAGGGGACAGGAAAGCTAGACAAAGGGAAATGGGGAGCCCAAGGTCAAGAAGGGGAGACTGTTAACACGTCGTCAGGCTGGCAACCAATGTCACAAAACGTGTATTAACTGTTTAATGAGAAACTTATTTGCTCTGTAAACCCTCATCTAAAGCACAATAAAAAAAAATCTCCTCTAATCTTCAAATCTGGTTGAGGCCAGTGTGGAAAAGGGCACATGTGAAACTCTACGTCTCTTAGCTACAATTCCCTCCCTCACACACCTGTGTGGATCTAGTCCCGCTAACCTGCAGCATAGAAATTTACTTTTAGAAGCAGACAAGATGATCGGAAAACTCTGGGACCAATCTCATCTCCGTTTTCTTAGTCCTGTGTATCCTCCCCTAGAGGTGCTCACTCCTCCCAGGCCTGGAGATACTGAATCACAGACTGTGAGCTCGGGTGAGCCCTACAGCCTGAGTCAGGCCCTGGCACCATGTATGTGCATGCATGCTTCTTCTGTAGGACAGAGTAAATGTGGAGTAGCGGGATCAAGGGCAAGCCGTAGAAAACTCCAGACCCTCCAAACTGCCCTCCAAACAAACTGTACCCATCACACTGCCAGTAGCAGAGAGGGCCCTAAACAACCACAACACTGGATATCATTAGTCCTTTCCATTTCTGCCAAACTAATGGCCGAAAAGTGGAAACCTGTTTTGTACTGCATTTCTTTACTCTTCACTGAGGCTAGACATTTTCTTTTTTTCATTGGAATCTGATTACTTGCATTTCTTTTGTGTGAACTGCCCATTTGAATTCTTTGTCTACTTTTCTATTAAGTTGCTTGTCTTTCTTGATTTGAAAGATTTCTTTAAGTAGTCTAGATTTTAATCTGTTGTCTGTTACATAGGTTGCAAAACATATCTGCTGCTTGTCTTCTAACTTTATGAGATCTTTTACCACAGAGACATTTAGAGTTTTTACAGAGTAAAATGTGTAACTCCATCCCTTTATGGTTTTTGTGGCTGGCTTGAGAATTCCCTCCACACCCTATGATTATAAAACATTGTCTTTTCTCCTAGTTATTTTATAGCTTTTTAAAATAAAGTCTTTTATACCATCTGGAATTTATTTTTGTGTACGGAATGTTGCATAAGTCCAACTTTTTTCCCATATGAATCTCCAACTGCCCCAATACCACTGAGCTGCTATTATTATCTGATTCAGTATGCCACACCTATCATATATGATATTCCCACATGTAAGTGTCTGTGTCTGGACTCTTTATTCTGTTCTTCTAATTGTTTCATCTGTTTGTATGCTAATAGCACGCTTTTTAATTTTGTTTTGAGAGGGGTCAGCCCATCTCCCATCATGATTCTTCCTCACCGTGTTCTTGCAAACTGTGCTTCTAGCTGAACTTCAGAAAATCTCACAAGTTGTATAATGCCTGGAATGTAGCAGGCATTCAAGAAATCCATGCTGAATTAAAAATTTTTTTCATAATTTTCTTCACATAGGTTTTGTACCTATCTTGTTAGAATTATTCCTATATAATTTGTAGTTTTTGTTGCTACAGTAAAACAGATCTTTTTTCCATTACATTTTCTAACTGGTTGCTATTGGCATTTAAGAAACCAACTGCTTTTTGTAGGTTGTATCTAGTATCACACCGAACTATCATTTCTAATAGTTTCTTAGTTTCCCTTGGATATCAAGTTCTATGATCACACCATCTACAAATAATGTCAACTTTGTTTCTTTTCAATATAAGTACCCCTTATTTCTTTTAAAAATTTCTTGCCCTGGCTAGGTCTCTAGGACAGTGTTAACATGGCAGCGGTAGCAGGCATCCTTGCTGTTTCCCCTATCGGGGACTGCTTCTATTAAACATCTATGTAAGTGATGTGCCATTAAGTATAATTTTTGCTCCAGATTTATAGTAGATATCCTTTATTAAGAATATTCCTAATTTGTTAATAGTTTTTTTCTTCTTTAGTTATTAATGGGAACTGAATTTTATTCAATGCTCTTCTGAGAGCTAGCAGGCTGATCTTACGTTGTTTCTCCTTTCATCTATTAATGTAATGAATTAGCACGCACTGGTTAAAAGCATGAGTGAGAGTATCTACTCTTTGGAGCCACCCAGACTTGTGATGGCTCTACCACTTTGACTGGCTCTGTGACCACTGGCATGAGGTACATGATCATGCTGAGCCTCAGTTTCCCCCAATCTATAAAGAAAGTATAATAATCCTACCTACGAGATAATGCTTGGCCCAGTGTCAATATACACTAGCCATTATTATTATTAGCTATTTTATAATAATCACTAAAATTATTAATAATTTTATTATTATTAAATAAATTATCATTATAAATTTCCTAATACAGAACCCTTTACAGATAAGGTATAGAAAGGACGGAAAGCAAATCCACAGAAATCAACTGCATAAGCTGGGATGGTTTTGACATTCAGGTTTCCACAGCTCGTGAACTGTTGAGTGGAGCTTGGGGGGAGGAGCATGAACTCCCTATAAAATGGCACAAAATTTTGGATGTATGTGTAGCTTCCTGAGAGAGTTCACTGCTTTTTTGAAAGGGGCCTATGTTCCAGAAAAGTTTACTTTTGGTGGGGGAGAAAAGAAAGCAAAAGACAGTGTTAAGGGATGACTACCACCTAACGCTAACTGCAATGTGGAGGAAGCCAGGCATGCTTGTCAGTGGAGGTGGGCTGGGGACTCCACAGGGGACTCCCCTTCAGCCTTGGATTCCTGTGTCAAAGCAAAAGGATGATGGGAAAGAGTCCCAAAAGAACTTTCCCATCTTTTATCCTTTAGTTCTCTTTCAAAAGTGCAAACATGTTAACCAAGTCATCTCCCTGCAGAAGAGTATCAGCAGACCGCTAACAAGAGCAAGGGAAAAAGATGAGCACCCAGAGGAGATAAAATCTCCTCTACTTCATGCTTTTAGGGGCTGAGAGACAAAAAAGATTCCACAGACCAGGCTTGGTTGGCCTGTTTGGTTACTGACTCCTGTTTTTAAGCCAATGGATTTCAAACCAATTCATCCCACAAACTTCTAACATCCTTTTTATCCTCAACAAATGGTGGCCAGATTGACGCAGTGATGTAAAGAAAATTGTGATGAAGAAATGATGAGATGGGCAGGGAACAAGCAGGCACAAAAGAAAGTGCACAAGGAACAGACTGAGGACAGACACGAGGCAGGACTAGAGAAGAAAGATATGGATTCAAAGAAACGGCCTTAGGTCTTTAGGAGCAGTACAAGAATACCCTCTTTCAGGAACATCTGGGTTCTTCCATTGTGTTTTAGGTATTAAAAAATGTTTTATATTTTCTCTGAAAAATGATTATGTAAGGAGCACAGAAGTTCAAATATAATTAGCTATTTTTTCCTTCTGGATGGGGCTGCATTATTTTTGCCGTTTCTGGAGAGTTTGGGGTTGGGGAATTGGTTCCTGAATTCTGCCAACAAGTTCAACTCTATTTAAAAGTAGTCACATAAACATTTAGAGAAAAGCAACAGATTTCCTTCTTACCTGCCGAGGTGTTCAGAGTTCGGACTGACCAGGTACATTAGATTCCTGAGAGTATGCAGTGGTTGTAATTGATCTAAATTTACATGCTAAAAAAATGAAGAATGGATTAATATTTTCAACTAAGTAACAAATTAAAACATAGTTCACAGCACATTTTCCATACCTGAGAAAAGCAAAGGTAAAGGATATTTGCATTCAATTTCTTCACTGCTCGAGTAAATTTCTGTCTGCTGAGATTTTCCTCACAAAATTCACTGTAAAACAAACATACAATTTGTAAAGTTGTACTCTTTGGAGAAAATTCTATGTTAAAATGTTCGTTTTGAAGAGGGTATGCTTTCCACTACAGTTCAGTATAAAGCATACACCATGTGTCCTTTGCCTCTTAGTAAACTGCACAAACAGAAACTTTCTAACAATGAACTTTTACCCTCATGGAGAGCAATTTTACTGCATTTATACAAATTACAAATGCATATACCCTTTGACCAAGCAGTTTCACTTCTGGAGATTTATTCTACATAAATATTTGCACACTGAAGAAATGATGAATGTACCAAATTATTCCTTGAAACATCAGTAGGGGACTGGTTAGGTCTTGGTAGATTTATATCCAGGAAAACTCTGCAACTATCGGCCTTACGCAGAACGATAGCCTAAGGCTTACAATGGCCCTACAAGGCCCCACACGGTCTGCCTTCCTGTCTGCCCTCCTAATCGCTCACTCTTCCCCAGGGCTTTGCACTTGCTGTTCCCTTTGCCTGCAGCTTCTTTCCCTAGGAATCTGCCTGGCTTGCTCACTTCCTCCCATCAGGCTCACACTGACCACATACCTGCCCACTCTAACACAGCAAGCCCTCCCCTGCCTCCACGCTCCCTTTATTTCACCCTGCTTTCAGATTCTCCACAGCACTTATCACCATCTGATGTACTGTTTACTGATCTGTTTACTACTTGTGCCCTCCACTGAAATGTATGTAAGCTCCAAGAGGGCAGGGACTATGTTTTGCTCACCAGTGTACCCCTAGTGTCTAGAACAGTGCCTGGCATAGTAAGCACTCAATAAGTATTTGCTTTAAAAAATAAAAATTTGAAAAACAAAGTAACAAACACCTCAGTATAGCATCCTACCTTTTGTGTTTTAAAAAGAGGGTGGATGGTAAATAGTATATATTTACATTTACTTGAAATGCAAGGATAACTGGAGGGGAAGTAGGAGGGTCTTGGTGGGGACTGGCTAGACCTTTATATTTTTCTTTAATTTTAAACCACATGAGTTTACCAAAAAATAAATAAAGCTGGAACTGTTAGAATTCACCCAGTTCTGAGGATCTGCAGCATACCCTCTGGATATCCTGGTTTTTCCTTCTATTATTTTTTCTAGTGGGGGAATACTGTGGTCTTCACACGCAAATGTAAGGTAATGAAACAGATTTGTGCAAGGCTTATGAAATTAATCTCAGTTATTTCATAGCCTAAACTTTGCTGTCTTGATAATACTTAAATTCTTATTTCTGATTTAATTACAATAAATAAGAACCCAAAAGAAACTTAAGAGATCCATGATAAAGATGACATCACCACATTCAATTACTTGCCTGTTGCACAGTTTTTTGGGAAGATTTACGTCAAGTATATGAGACAAAATGTTGACCAACTGAGTCGCATAGCACAATGCAGCACTGATTGTGTACGCAGGGTTATTATGCTCCATGTCTAAAGTATAAAAACACAATCATAAATCGTCAACTTTAATTCCAACAAAAACCATCTCTCATCTCCAGATATTAATGAACCTAGGTCTTGTAATTTATAACATTATCATTTACATTACTGATGGCTAAATTTTACTCCTTACTCATAAAAGCTCCATGGCCAGACAGAAACTGTTTAGGTATTTTGCCAAGTAGGATGTAACATATGCAAATGAGCCTAAATAGACCCCACGGAAATTAAAGTCTGAACCGCTAACCTGCTTGGACCTGAGGTTGCAGTTTAATGTGTTATCAGAACAACTAATACCTAGGAGTTCATTCTTCAAATGATATTCCCTGAAATCTAGTTTAAAATCTAGCCAATTTCAAATGAAGACATTTCAATTCCTTTTCAAGCCTCCCAGTTAGTCCTGGGGACACTGGAGAAGAGTTAATAATCATTAAACACCTGCCATTATCAGGATTTTATGATATGCCAAGTACTCGGATAAATGCTTTAAAGAAGTTATTTTACTTAATCCTCCTATGAGCCCTTTATAACTATCCCTGTTTTAAGTATGATGGAATTAATTCTTCGAGAAGTTAAATCAGGCACTCAAGAACAGCTGGTAACCTTCAGAAATCAATAGTGAAGTGTAGTGATAGTCTTGGAACCTCTGCTTAAATGACTTTCTTGATGAGGCAGGCCTTCCTCGACTGCCGTATTTCAGATTGCATGCAGTCACCACCACTCTGCCCCAGCACCCCAACCTCCATTCCCATTAGTTCTTTCTCCACAGCATTTTATTGTCTTCTAATATGTAACGTATCTCTTGTCTACCATTTCCTCACTAGAGTGTAAGCTCCACGGGGAAGGATTTTGTCTGTTTGCTCACTGGTGTACTGCGAGTGTCTAGAACAGTGCCAGGCACAAATTAGGTGCTCAATTAACGTTTGCTGACTGAATCGATCAATGAATTAATGACTGGGGAATTCTAGTGACAACTGAATTCTCATTGTGAGGATTCTTTTTTATTCCACACATACGCAAGATACCAGAGCTCTTAACTCAAGAGATAGGGCTACTACGAAACGTCACTGTATAAAACCTTACAGTGGCTTCCTATTACCCACAGAGTGAAATCCAACTCCTTCCAAGAACCCAGCATGATCAAGGCCCTGACCACTTCTCCATTCTTTCATTCCCCTCACAACCTTGCTCACTACACTGCTGCCCCTTCTCAGCTTCTTGCAGTTCCTCAAACATTCCCCAACACAAAGTCTTTGCACAATCTATTCCCTTGGAATGAAATGTTCTCCCCCGACTAGTTTCTTTTCATCTTTCAAGTCTCAACTTAAATTGTCACCTCCTCAGAAAGGCCTTCCTTGACTACTCTATGAAAAAGTAGTCTCCTCTGTACCCCCGGCTGCCCCCACCCCCATCATGATGCTGCTGATTTTTTCCATGGCTCTCATCCAGAGTATGGTTCCTCTGATCATGTACTTGTTTCCTGCCCTTCTCCCCACAGAAGGGCTAAGGGTCATATCTGCCTCGGTCACTTCTGTATCACCAGTGCCCAGCACTGTGCATGACACAGAGCACACGCTCACTAAAAATCTGCTGAATGACTACATAAATGATCCTTCACCACCAAAGAGAAATGGCAAGAGTGTTAAGAGTTTTTCTATTGGGCTATTTCAATCTCCATTTAGAATTGCTAAAACAAACTTTTTATAAAGCTATAAAATAAAAATGAGATTCAATGGGCTAAATATACTTCTTTAAATAGCGAGGTCTTTTTATACAGATAAAGCAACAGTGACCTACAAAAGACAAAATATTAAAAAGGCATGTTTTAGGCAAAACAATTGTTCCTAAATTCACCTGCGGCAACAGAGGAAGGAGTCGTCAGGAATAGGAAGAGGATATGGTATGTGTGGCTAATTGCCTCCATGAATAACTGCCTCCTTTGCCATGAGACTAGAACTATATGGTGCTCAGCTACCATTACTGAACAGTTTGATCAAAGATTCCATAGAGGAATCCTGATCAAAAGGGGGAATATGTAGAACTGAATTTCAAATTCTCATGGACTCTAGATTTCTAGAGCCATGGAAGGTAGATGAACCCTGAAACTACTGCCCTGAGAAAATCTTTAAACTTTAAACCAAAAATATCCCCTGAAGTCATCTTTAAACTGAACAGTTTAACTTAACTAGTAAAAAAGGCTGCCCTGAGCATTACGCTCTTTTAAGAACTATCTACACGGGTTCAAATTGACAATAGCAACTTGAAAGATTACACAGGAACCTTAGAGAGCAGTGAGTTTATGTTAACAAGGGAAAAACAACTCAGAAAAGGAGGATGAGAATGGTTGCACAACTTGAAGAATGTAATCAATGTCACTAAATTGTACACGTAGAATCTGTTGAAATGGTGTATGTTTTGCTGTGTATATTCTCAACAACAAAATTTAGAAAATTTTGAAAAAAAGAAAAAAAGGTATGTTTTAGTCTATCAACTAATGAATGGATAAATAAAATATGATATATCCATACAATGAAATTCAGCCAAAAAAAGTAATGAAGTTCTGTTACACGCTATGGATGAACATGGATGAACCCTGAAGATATTATGATAGGTTAAAGAAGCCAGCCACAAAAGTCCACATACTGTACGATTCCATTTATATGAAATGTCCAGGATAGGTAAAACCACAGAGACAGAAGTAGATTAGTGGTCATTAGTGGTCACCAGGGGATGGTAGGAGGGGTGACTGGGAAGTGACTGCTTTGTGTGAACAGGGTTTCCTTTGGGGTGGTGAAAATGTTTAGCAACTAGAGAGAGGTAATGGTTGCATAACATTGTGAATGTACTAAATGCCACTGATGATTAATTTTATGCTATGTGAATTTTACCTCAATTAAAAAATATATCTATATATGTATGTTTTCAAAGAGCATTGTGCTTCTCACCAGGCCCCTGTGTCGTTTTCTTCTCTTCCACCCAATTGTAATAGGCGGAGTAGTCCCCATTGTTAGGGAGGCTAATCCAAGGCCCTGTAATGCTAATGCTGGTATCGCCATTGTGATCATCACAGACCCATCTCCCCGAGAGGTAAGTCGTCCTGCGAGCTTCAGCAAGCTCGCTCACGGTGCTGGAGGTCATGGCACTGTCACCCTCTGAAGACGCATCTGCGGGATCTCTAGAAATCAGAAGACACACAGGGATTTCACCAGTCTCGGTTTTAAAGGGCATGCAATATACTTGCCAGATATGCATTGAAAAGTTACATATGAGCACAGGAACTTAACTGGAACATACATAACTGCTATCAGAGATGAGGATGGCACAGAAGACCACACAAGAGCAAATGAGACGGCACACTTTGAACTATGGCCCAAAATAATTAGGTTCTCAGACTATTTGGTCTCACGACCCCCTTCCATACTTGAAATTTTTTGAGGACCAAAGGGCTTTTGTTTATATGTGATATATGCTATATTAAAATTAAACCTGAGAAAATTAAAAAATATTTACCACTTCATTCAAAAAAAAATCTACTATATGTTAACATAGCACATTTTTATGAAAAATATCTATATTTTTCCAAACAAAAAAATTAGTGAAAAACAGCATTGTTTTACATTTTTGCAAAAGTCTACTCAAGTCTGCCAGTTATTCTTTCAAGTAAAAATACTGTTCCATGAAAAAAGCAGCTACTTCAGCTTGCAAATCATTCACTTAAGTACTTTTCCATAAGCCAACCATGGTTCTTCAGTCTGCAGCAACTGCTTCATGCGTACTTCCTATTTCATCACACAGTACATTAAAAAGATGTGCACTCAAGGATCAAGATTTAAGAAAATTAATAATTTTTACTGCTTCATCAAGGACAGTCTTAACTGAACCTTTTTTTTTTTTTTTTAAAACTGCAAGTCTGTGGTGAAGACACAATGACACTATTACAGCTGGGTGCCACTGCCCTGACTTGTGTCAAGGCCAGTCAGAGGTTTTACCCACACCAGGGCTTTGAAGCCACCGGTACAAATGTCAACACAGTGAACAAGGAAAAAATTAGGAGCTCTAGTGGCACAAATGGTTAAGTGCTCAGCTGCTAACCAATAGGTTGGTGGTTTGAACCCACCCAGGGGCTCCACTCCATGGAGAAAGACTTGGTGATCTGCTTCCATAAAGATTACAGCCAAGAAAACCCTATAGGGCAGTTCTACTCTGTCACATGAGGTCGCTATGAGTCAGAATCGACTCCATGACACCTAACAACAATAATTATTATAAAAATAGTTTTGACTGCACGGACCCTGAGAGGGTTCTCTGGCACCTGCAGAGGTCCATGGATCACACTTGGAGAATGTCTGGCCTAAAGGGTAGAAGAGGAATTTACCACAAGAAGTGAGAGCACGTACAGATTCAAGGAGGGGGAGGAACACGGTGTGTTTGGGGAACAGAGACGTTTACTGTTGGTGTCTAGGATGCATGAGGGAAGTGCCAGGAGACGGTGCTAAAAGAGTAGCCAGGAAGTAGGCAGACTGGAAGGGCCTTCTGTTCTGCACTGAGTTTAGATCCTGTCCTTTGGCCAGTGGTTCTCAATCTTTTTCCTTCTGCCACCACATACATGTGAGATAACTCCTACTGGCTGTCACCAAAAAGCCAGAAGGCAGGGATATTCTGGCCAATTCTCCCAGGCAGGTGTACCTCTATGTCTTCCTCCTCCCATTCAAGGAAGTTGAGAGAAATGCAAATGAACAGGAAATCTGATTTAGCAATAACTTCAAAACCACCTGCTTTAAAAAAAAAAAAAATTCAACAGCATGAGATTAAGATTAAATTATCAAAGTATGGTGGACAAAGTTTTTCTCCGTGTTTTTCTTTCTAGTATGTTCACTATACATATTAGCTTTCTTTTTAAATTTCCACTTTTAAAATAATTTCAGCTTTACAAAAAAAGTTGCAAGAACAATACAAAGTTTTCCTGTATACACTGCACCCAACTTTCTCGAATTATAGATTCAGGAACATACAATGATCAAAATGAGGTAATCGGCACTGCTACAATACGATTAACTATTCTACAGACCTTATTCCAATTTCTCCAATTGTCCTGCTAATGTCGTTTGTGGGATCCAAGATTCAATCCAGGATCACAGACTGCATTTAGCTGTTGGCATCCTCAGTCTCTTTAATCTGGAACTCTGCCTCACTCTTTGTCTACTATAATGCACTGCAACATTTAAATCTTTGACCCATTAGAATTTAATTTGGCATGTCTTTTTTGTGGCTAGCTTCCCACCCCCTCAGCTGTCTTAACACCAATTTTGGGATAATCCAACTTTTCCGGGAGTGTGTGTCAGCCCCTTCCTGGAAGCTTAGTAAAAGTGCACAAGCCTGAGCCCCAACCCTAGCCCTCTGAGAGCCCCCGCCCTTCACCGCAGCTGCGCCCCAACTTCGCACAGTGTATACTGTTTGCTGAAGCAGAACTAGGAAAACAAATAACTCCGGAACGAGGTTCAATAGACAAGGTGCTGGCATACGTGAATATACCACTTGGGACTTCATCTATTCTGAGTAGAAAGGTTTGCTTACTGTACCTCACACCAGTCTTTACTTCCTCGATTGGAAAAATGACAGAGGTGAGCTCTAATATATGAGATCGCCGAAGATTTGCTAGACGCTCATAATGACTTCTTAAGTCAATGGTTTTTTTCTCTACCAGGTCACCAAGTCTACGATTGTGCCTCTGAATCTTCTCTTTTTTCTCTTGATGCCGTTGTGCTCGACTGTAAAGTTTCTGGTTCTTTTCCTTGGTTTTGAGAAGGCCTTCAGAATCTAAAATAAATAAATCATACTGAATAAATCTACCAATAGTTCTTGGGTACTGCAGAACCCCATCTCACAAGCATACATGCCTCCCCTACAGTCTAAGTGGGAAGCAAAGCCTCAATAAAACCAGATCACTAGTTCATTAAGTAGAAATTTTGGGAGTTTAGTTCAAGTGAATATTATACATAAAGCAAAGGAGACCACCTCTAAAGAGACTCTGGATTTCAGTCTGTAATCATTATTTATAAAAGGAGTCACTCAGTGACTATCAAGTTAAAGTGTAGCACAGAAGTACCTGACCTCCTTAGACTAAGCCCTAAAGAAAGTCATGGTAGGCAGAGAAGATAACTAATTCAAAATTAAAAAACTCACTGGCTATCTGATTTCCCCTAGAAACTCTTAGGTGTGGCTTGGGTTACAATCAGAGAACCCAGGGATAATCTCACGTAGGAAAAAAGGATGAGCAACAAAACAGATCAAGGACTCTGAAAAGTTAGTGAGCGCAGCAGTAGCCAGCAGGTGGGAGCACTTATCGGGTGAGCCCCTATTACACACTCAGCACTTTAAGCATTGCAAGGGCAACAAACGCCTGGCCACACAATCAGGAAGAGACCTACATGTGTCCTGTCAGATGTGTGTTCTTCCTGTGGAGCTCCCTCAGGTTCTGGAACCTAAGACCTGCTGGGGCTGTTGGGTTGTGGCAAAACTTAGCTAGGGTAGGCTAAACCAAGTTGTAAAATCTCGATAGACACCTAGGAACCACTTAAAAACAAACAAACCAAACCCAACAAACCCGTTGCTGAGGAGCTGATTCTAACTCATAGCAACCCACAGTAGAACTCCCCCATAGAGCTGCCAAGGTTATAATTTTTACGGAAGCAGACTGTCACATCTTTCTCCTACAGAGCAGATGATAGGCTTGAACCACCAACCCTTCGATTAGCAGCCGAGAACTTAAACACTGAACCACCAGGGCTCCTAGGAACTACTTAGGAGGCTCAAACTCAAGTTCAAAACCAAGCTCATTATTTTTCCAGGAAACCTCCTCTTGTCATTTGAAGCTAGGTTCTCTGCTTCACGATTATTTTTGACCTGTCTGGTCTAAATCAGTCCTTTGACGGTCAATTCCATTCGCGGGTCTACACTATATACTCAGACTTTTCTTTTCATCCTCACTATCACAATCCTAGTTAACGCTCACCAAAACCCTACCTGGCTCCCAGCCTGGCTCCACTCCAAGCCTTCATGCCCTCTTCCACTAGCTCAGTCTTCGTAAGCTATGGCTCAAATGCTCACTGGTTAACCACTGCTCATCAAATACAGACCAAACTCCTTAGCCTCGAGACCACTCCCAAATTGGTATATATACACCACAGTTCCCTTCTGTACACCCTTCACTCTAACCTTGCTCAATTACTAGCTGCTTCAAATCCTTTTTTACAAAGTGGAAATACTTAAATAAACTCATGTGTGGACGGACAGATGCTGAACCAGTCATCATTCTCTAAACAGTCATCCTTACATAGTTGGTCAAATCAGCATCTCTCCAAGAATGCTTTCTGTTTGCTCCTAATTTCCAAATGTCCAAATCTTACCCATTCAGCAAGGTCCCCCCTCCATAAATGCTTCCCAGACTTCTTGCTCCTTGGAACTCTATGGCAATGTGTCTTTACCCCTCCTATGGCACATATTCTTAGTTCTTTGTATCAGGTCCAACCAAAACTTTGTCTCCTGCCTGGAACATAACAGGCATCTAATAAATGTTTGTGGACTGAAGCCACCCTTTTACTGAGGACCACTGAACCTAGGTATTTAGTTGTGGGCTTAAGATTTCTTACAGTTTTGTTTCTCTTTAGATGCATTTCTTTTATCCCTGCTCACTGTGAGTGTCCCAAAGGTTAAGTCCCATGGTTCCATCACACACTTACTTTTCAGCGAGCTCATTCATTTTTATGATCTTTATTGAGTTCTTTACAAGTACTCAAATGAATATGTGTAGGCTAGATTAACCAGTAAGCAAATTAACTAGTAAACACATTAACCAGTAAGCAAGGTACACACAGGCTTGATTGTATTTACTTACTAATCTGTAGTGCACAATTTCACATGGGTTTTACCACATCCTTGATACTTCAAAAACAGGTGAAATTGTGCACCACAGATTAGTAGGTAAGCACAAGTGAGCCAGTGCATACCTTGCTTATTGGGTAATCTGTGCCTGTGTCTAGCCATGTCTTGAGTTATATGGCAGTCAGATTTTTTTAGGACAATTTCCAATTTAATACTATGGGCCCTTATATTGTATGGGTGGCAGGAAATCATCACAGTCCCACTCTGCACCTAGTGCAGACTCAGCACTCAAGAGTTTACCTCTTTTTCTCTCCATGCATGTCACCCCCCAAATGCCAAAAACCTTTTGATGCTATTGCTGTAATCTACTCTTGCTTCCTGAGTATCACTGGACAAGTAACTTTGACTACAGCATGGATCTACTCAACCCTGCCTACAATCTACTTCCCTACCTATGCTATATAATGTATCTGCATTGTACTGTGCTATATATATCTAAATCATGAAATCTTAAGTTAAAAGATTCTGGGGAAATAATTCATCAGGTGCAACAACTTATAACTTGTACCCTTTCTGAATGTAAATAATATTTCAAAAACAAGAAAAAGAAATGAAGACAGACAGACTTCGGTAGCAAACTCTTAACTCATGGGCTTGGGGCCATGCATAGCTTCTTGAATCCACCAACTCCCTTACAATTGTTTGCAAAATTTTACCACTCTGCTGTAGAGGACGGGAACTAGACTATCTTTAAAGAACAACGTTTTCCAGCCCTGGTAGGCCATCAGAACCAACTAGACGAGTGCCACTCAAAGTACGGCCTATGGATCTGGGCCCTTCTGCAAACTGTTACCAGCAGCAACAACAGAAGTAAAGAAATACAGAAAAAGTGTTGAGAAACTTAACAGCAATTTGACACTGCATTGGCATCCAAGCGTGGGATCATTCTTCTAATAATTTTTATCGTATTTTACAAAAGTATCAGTTTATGACAGACTGGAAATTAAAAGGGTGGGGGGGACTGGACCTTCACTACAGATAGTTTGAGAACCAGTGACTCAGTCCTCACCCATGAGACTTTAATTTTATAAGTCCAAAGTGGATCCAGGATTCTCTCTAGATTTTAAAAAGGTCAGCAGGCAACTCTGATGGCTTCGCTAGGGGTGAAAACCACTGTTACAGGGTCCACAGCTTTAGAACCATGTTTTTTATTTTCTGCAGTTTTTTTTTATTTTGGACATTAGGAACCTGTTAAAAGAAGCTGACCAAAGCTTTAAACTTGCTTATCAGAAAAATGTGCAGACTCAGTAAATTCAGGAGGCTCACTGATGGCTGGTGGCAAACCTCTGGTCTGAACATCATGGGAGGATGGTGAAACGGAATGGACCAGTGCTAAGCATCAAGTTCCTATGCTGCTGCTGAACCAGGGCCTTTGAAGACTCATGTAGGACTCAGTAGGTCATCAGTTGTCTGTAGTTCTGACCACCTGTTTACCATACTGCCTGCCCCACCCAACCCCCTCCCCTCAGCTTATTAATCCTGTGAAACACCAAACAAGCCTTTATTAGGCCAAACACTTTCAAAGGAAGTTTTACACCACCACATCTTACTATAAAATACATGCTTCTGAAAGCAGTGAGTAGACAAGAAAGCGATACACAACGTATGATGGTGACCCATTCAAAACTTTAAACACTGATCTTCAGAAATACATAGAGTATTTCTAAGGATATAGGATTTCTAAGAGGACTCTGTCTTAAATTTTGACAACCACCTATGAAAGAGTATCAAATGTACATATAATGTAAAATGAATACACGTAAAAATATGTATGAGACTCACTAAGGGAGAAAAGGCCAATATTCTGTGCTTCTGACGTGAGCTGATTAAGACAAACAGGTGTCAAGTTTTTTTTTGTATAAACTAAGGCAAAATGGAAACACAGATTCCTTAACTTTTTAAATTAAGAAAGATAGGTTATTTTAAGCCTCTGTATTTATGTGTTTATTAAAAGAAAAAATTCCTCATACAAATAATTACAAAAAGGCAAGCAGCAAGTAAACTTTTCCAAGCTGTCTTCCCTCCCCTTCCTTCTCTCCTTCACTCTATCTCTGCATCTCTAGCCTACTAATCCTCTGAAATTCCACATGAGCCCTTTATTAGGACTGGCTGCTGTTGTCGAGTCTATTTCAACTCACAGCGACCCCATGTGACAGAGAACTGCCCCATAGGGTTTTCTTGGCTGTAATCTTTACAGAAGCACATTGTCAGGTCTTTCTCCCACAGAGTCACTGAGTGGGTTCAAACTGCCAACCTTCTGGTTGGCAGCCGACCACTTAACTGTTTGCGCCACTAAGGCTCCTTTTCTTAAGTGCTGGAGGGAGTGGAAATTACTTACTTTTCTTCATTTCTTCATTTCCTTTACATATTGTTTGTTTCAGCTGTTCAATCCTCATCTTGCAGGACATTATTTTCCACCTCTGGAACAAAGTGCAATAAATACCACAAAGGTTGTAACTTGATGATTAATGTGATCTGTTTGCCTTGGATCACTACTTATTTTCAGGTATATCTTAGAAAACATAATGAAGAAAAGACCAATGTAATTGTATTTGTCATAGCTTTAAGAGCTATAATGGATTAAGAAAAAGAAAACTCAATGTTGTTCTAGTTCAGTGCAGAAGTTGCTAGGAAATTAAGAGAGAGAGAAATTCTCATAGCTCTTATGTATGTGTCAATGAGCACAGAGAAACTATTGAAAGATACTCTCTAAACCTGCTCTGTCCTGTATGTAGCTACAAGCCACGTGTGGATATTTAAATCTCAATTAAAATTACATAAAATTAAAAATTCAGTTCTTTACTCACACTAGCCACATGCCAAGGGTTCAACAGTCACATGAGACTAGTGGATACCATACTGGACAGCACACATATAGCACATCTGCACCATCGCACAAAGTTCTGTTGAAGTGCTGCTCTAAACTGTTAGTGCTGGTTGCTCAGGAGACTATTATCATCACTGTATCATTTCACTTATATAGTAGGCAAAATAATAAAAACTATAATAAAAATGGTTTTTTTAAGAAAACTACATACCTCAAGTAAGACTTCCTGAGAAGCCTCAGAAATTCTTTGGAACATGAAACTGCCTCCTCACATCACCAAGATCTATGCAGAGCTTTCCCCAAAGTGAATAAAGGATCAGTAAAAACGGGACCTAGCCTGATTATTCTATGATGCCTCCAACATCTCCATAAATGTGGATAATTAAAAGTTCAAAACGTTCAAATGTTTACAATGTTCTATACTTGTCTAAATAGTGTTTGGTACAAGATACAGAACAGATTACAGAGACGTTACAGTGGGCAAAACTCTAACTCTCCAATGGTGTCATAAAGATACTTAAAAACAGATTCAGAAGAACTGACGGGTCAGCAATGAGATTTCTTTCACTTTAAAAAAATAAAAGTGGTTTTTCGAAAAATGGCGCTCTAGGCAGAAGTACCACGCCGTCCCTCCACAGCAAAGATCCAAAAAACTAAGCTGAACAGAGAATACAACAATCCTGAAACCCTAAGACATCAAATGAAGAGATAAAGAACTCAGCCAAGCACCAAATGGAGTGAGAAAACTGACAGAGAACGGAGAGTGAGGAGACATTCATGCAGAGGTCCCCTACCAGCTAATGCAGTGCGGGTCCGCCATCTTGGACTCCTATCGGAGACCAGCAAACAGGAGGTACAAGAAAGCAGCCTCACAGAGCTTCCAGCAGGAGACAAAACCACCAGTAATTGGCGATATATGCTTTCCCACCCCCCACCCTCTTCACCCCGACTCGGCCTCCTCTGCTTCCCGTGGCCACAGTCTCTTGACCGGGAAACAGTGGCTGCTTGGATTCCACACACCCGAATGGGTGGCTTTCTGAGTGCCATTTGTTGGCTGCTGGTGTTGCTTTTTTTCCGCTTCTTTTCATTTCTTCC